GTTAGGAACACTATCAATTCCTGTGCTTTTAAGAATTAATAGGTAAATTGGGACAGTCTATACAGTTCTTATTTAGCTTTATTTTAGTGCAAGCATGAACTGTGGGAAGATAGAAAGAATTTCACCCATGACAATGCAGAAGGTCATCACTGTAAGATAGGAGGAAGAAAACACCGAGAAGGATGGCGGAAGAGACTCTGATTATTGCACTAGAGTACCAAGAAGCCAAAGAAAAGGGAAGAAATCAGGAAGTTAAGAAGCTGAACAGAAGATTTCAAAAGGCAGCTCAGGAAGCCAAACAAAGAATTACAATGAAATGTGCAAAGAGCAGGAGTCAGAAATCAAAAGGGATGAACTCACTTGCCATTTCTCAAGCTGAAGAAACTAAAGAACAAATTCAGGCCTCAAGCTGCAGTACTTAAAAATGCTAAAGATGCTGTGCGCAGAATACTGATGATCCAGAAAGCATCAAAAAATGAAGGAAGGGGTACACAGAGTCACTGTATCAAAAAGAATTGGCTAATTCAGAAGAATATCATGAAATAACATATGATCAAAGAGACAATGGCAACAAAAGAAGAAGTTTATGCTGATCCGAAAGAATAAGAAAAAAAAAAACACCCCCAGGAATTGACATATCAATTGACATATTTCAACAAACAGATTCATCCTTGGATGTGCTCACCACGTAGTACAAGAGATCTGGAGGACAGGTGCTTGGTCAACTGACTGGAAGAGCTCCTTATTTATTCCCATTCCAAAAACAAGGTGACCCAACAGAGTGTGGAAGTTATCAAACAATATCACATGCAAATCAAATTCCTGCTGAAGATTGTTGTTTTTCTTGTTGATTGCCTTCAAGACTAGCATGACTCATAGTGACCCTATGAACAAAAGACCTGAAGCCCTTTTATAACTATCAATATTTATCAAAGTTCATAGAGTTTCCAGATGCATTTTGTTTAAGAAGTGGATGCCACTCCTGCTTCCAATATATAGTCATTTCAAATTGTCAGTGGTGCTTTGGAGTTGCTAAGACACTGAACTCCAACTTCAGTGGAACTTCCAAATTCAGAGTAGGAAGGCCTGATAATATATTACAGATCACAGTGGTCTGATCTGCAACTAATCATGATGGTACAGGCCCAGAGAGCATTCTGTTTGTGCATGGAGTTGTCGTGAGTTAGGGACAACATAGTAACATACTCAAAAGAAAAAAAATTGACCAGAACAATACATCAACAGAGAACTACCAGAAATACAAGGTAGTTTTAGAAGAGTCTTTGTCACAAGGGACATCATTGCCAATGTCAGATGGATCTTGGTTGAAAGCATAGAGTACCAGAAGAATGTCTATTTGTGGTTTTTGACTATGCAAAGGCAGTTGACTGTGAGGACCACAGAATGGAAATCCCAGAACCCTTGATTGTGCTCATACAAAATCTATATTTAAACTAGGAAGAAGTCATCAGAATGGAGCAAGAAAACACTGCATAGTTCAAAATCAAGAAAGGAGTGTGTCAGGGACGTGCCCTTTTCCCATACCTTCTCAATCTATATGTGGAATAAATAATTTAGGTGGCTGGACTTAATAAGGATGAATGTGGCATCAGGATTGAAGGAAGGTTCATCAACAACATACATTATTCAGTTGACACAATCTTGCTTGTCCTGAGGAAGACCTGAAGCATTTACTGCAGAAGGTCAAGGACTACAGTCTTCAATATGAAATGCAGCTCAACACCAATAAAACAAGGATTTTCACCACTGGGCCAACTTCCAGCGTAATGACAGATGGAGAATAGATTGAGATTGATAATAATTTCATCTTGCTTGGATCCACAATTAACGTTCTTGGCACTAGCAGTCAGGAAATGAAAAGATGAATTGTATTAGGAAAGTCTGCTGTCAAGGGCCTCTCCAGAGTAATTGAGAGCAATGATCTCAGTTTAGAGACTAAAGTGTGCCCAATCCAGGCCATGGTCTTCTCAATTGTATGTTTCAGAGAGCTGGACAGTAAATAAGAATGATGAAAAAGAATCAATGCCTGTGAGTTGTGGGTTGGGGAAGAGTACAGAGCATACCAAGGACTGAGAGAAGGACAAATAGGTCTGTCCAGGAGAGGGTGAAATCAGGCTGCGCCTTGGAGGCAAGAATTTTGAAACTCTGTCTCACATACTTTGGACATGTTGTCAGGAGGGACCAGTCCTTGGCGAAGAACATCATGCTTGGAAAAGTGAAAGGTCAGTACAGAAGAGGAAGACCCTGGATGAGATGGATTGACACAATGATTGTGGTAATGGGGGCAGGTGTGTCAGAGACAGAGAAATTGGCTCAGGATAGGGCAGGGTTCAGAGCTATTGCCCACAGGGTCACTGTGATTCATAGTCAACTTGAAGGCACACAACAACAATAACAATAACCAACTTTAAAGTACTTTAAAAGCTGCACATACAGCAGGTGAAGGTGATTGTAATGAATTTGTTGGAGTGAGGCTGATTCAATCATTTCAAAGGAGGACAAATTTAAATAGCTTTTTTTTTAAAATAGAAATTCTATTTTATTTTATTATTTTTATGCATGTACTGTCAAATCAGATCTGACTGGTACAGGAGGAGATTGTCCCTCCTTCTCCGGAGAGAATCTGGTGGATTCAAACCGCGCACCTCTGGGATTGCAGTTCAGCTTCTTACCACTAGGCCACCAAAAGTAGCATTTTTTTTAAGGGGAAGTAGGTGAGTTGTTCACAAGTCAAACATTAGGGAACTGGGGATTGCTTGTCGTAAAAAATATATAAAAATATATTTGATTATGCATATATAATGAAACTCTCTGAACATAGAGAAATGTTGTCAATTATAGATCAGAGTTAAGGTCTTTTGTTCATAGAGTCATTATGAGTCTCGTATTCAACTTGACGATACTTAAGCACTGCTAAGTGGGACTAGTGTTGTTATATTTTGGAGGAACATTCTTCTACTTTGTACATCACTCTTCTGTCAATTTGTTGTATTGAAGTTGTACTGGTTTTGCTGTGATGCTGAACTGTGTGTCATTGGTGTGTCAAATGCCAAAACAGTTTCCCAATTTGGACAGTGTTTGGTGGAGCTCCCAGTTGTAAAACAGGTTTGGAAGCAGGAGTGGCTTCCACTTCCTAAACCATATGCCTCTGGAAACTCTATGAACTTGGAGAAACAATGATAGTTATAGAAAGGCATTAGGTCTTTTGTTTATAGAGTCGCTATGAGTCATGCTCAACTCAATAGCAATTAACAACAATGACATATATGATGAAACATGATAACATATTTATCCCAAAATTATATTACTTTGAGCATGTTGTTGTTGTTATGTGCCACCTTGTTGCTTGTGACTCATAGGGACCCTATGTAAAACAGCCCTAAACCCTGCTCCATTCTGTACCAAATCACACTACCTCTGACACACCCATCCCAATTACCCCAGTCACTGAATCAATCCACGTCATAAAGGGCCTTCCCCTCCTGCACTGTCCTTCCAGCCTCCCAAGCATGATGTCCCTCTCCAAGGACCTGTACCTCCTTACAACATGTCCAAAGTATATTAGATGAAGCCCCAGAATTCTTGCCTCCAAGGAGCAGCCCGGTTTAATCCTCCCAAACCTGAATCTGTTTGTTTTCTTGGTAGTCCATGGTATACTCTTCTCCAGCAGCACAAGCTCAAAGGCATCAATTCTCCTTCTATCCTCCCTAGACATTGTCCAACCCTCTGATGCATAACAAATGATTGCAAAGACCATGGCCTGCATCAGATGCAATTAAAAGACTTTGAGCATAATCTTCAGAAAACAGTATTTACAACCTTAACACTGAAATTTGGGACTATTAAAATGGTTCCAACTGAGATTGGTTAAAAATTCTTTGAGGTTAGGAACTACATTATTTCATTCTATCAAATAGTTGTAAAGTTAAGCAAATAACAACAAAACAATTCAAGGCTAAGGTAATAAATGTTTAAGACTTGCCAGTTGTTATCTTTTTTTTTTTTTGCCAGTTGTTATCTTGTTCACTGTTACACATCTTTGATTCTACCATCACTCATAGCCATCCTGTGAACAACAGACAGAAAGCTTTCCCTATCTCGCAGCATCTTCACAGTCTCTGCTGTGATTAAATGCATTATTATAGCCACTGTGGCAATTGATCTCACTGAAGGTCTTTCTTTCACAGACCCTCTAAGTTTCCAAGCATGGTGTCTTTTTTCCCAAAGACTAAGAATACCTCCTGACAACACGCCTAAACTATGTGAGATGAGGTTTCACCATCCTTGACCCTAAGTACACTCTGGTTGCACTTCCTCCAAGAGAGACTTTTTTATTCTTTTGGAAGCCTGTGGGATAGTCAATGTCCTTTAACAGTAACACAACTCAAGTTACCTATTCTTCAAAAGAAAACATTTTCAAGCTTTAAATAATTTGATATTTTAAAAGATACTTAGAATAATTTTATGGGGACACTTTATGTTGGTTAAAAGATTTTAGTAACATGATGAAAATTATTGCAGTAAGAATTACTGACAGGAAGTGGAAACACAAAACATTTTAGAGGGATTATTATAATGGTTGAATCCCAAAACAGCTGCCTAAACATCAGACTTACAGGATGTTAACACTCTAATTCTGGTAAAAATCTGATAGGATCTTAAGAGTGAAATGAAATGTGATGGTGAGGGAAACTCTAGACTTTAAGGACTCCTACGACTTTAAGTAAAATATCAACCCTGTTTATGTGGCATAATTGGTTACATAGATAAGAATATAACCCAGATATCAGTAGGAAGCTTTATCAGTACCTAATCTTAGCTTTTCACTTTTTTAAAAAAAATAATTGATTGATATGACTGAAGAATATGTAAGTAATAAATATAAATTTTTAATTTTCATTTTTTCCTACTTTCTTTCTATTTGGGTGAGTGTCATAATTACGATTCTATGAAGTCATGGCCATTGCTGTAGTATTTACCTTTATCCCCGGAAGTCCAGGAAGCCCAGGAAGCCCTGGTTCACCCTACATAGGAAAATCACATAGGATTATAGAACAACATTCACTCAGTCACAACATCCGGAACAAAACATGGCAAAAGTTCCTGCTGGAATGCTTTCTGAATATATCGATATATAATGGATATACTGTTAAGTTTCTAGAAGTCTTATGAAATTATGCAGTTCAGTCAACTCTTGACAACTTTGTGTTAGTTTGGTGTTGCTTTATTTGGATTTTTTTTTTAAATCTTTCTGCTTAGTTCATTATTTTTTCACCTCTAATGGAAAGAAGGTGAGCAAAAGGAATTTACCTCTTTGTTAAAATAAAAATGAGAAGGAACTTCCAAAAGGATATTTACTCTTTTGGTAAAAGACTAGTTTGTTTTGCTGAAGTGAGAGCATGCTGCCTTTTAACAATGCATCCTTTCTCAGTAGCCCCTCACCTCTGATAATCAAGAGTTGGCTGTATGAACAGATGGTCACATTAAAAGAATATACATTAAAATCTTGCTCACTTCAAAGTATAGTGAGATTTCTTTTCCATTCCTGAAGGATGAGAAGATAAATGAATAGTTAAGAGTACTCTTAACCTCAGCCTATATTTCTGACAATTGTTTGAATCTAAACCACCAGCCCTTCTTAGCAGCTTATAGCTAATGGTGCCCTGCAGCTGTTCCTGAATAGGGGTTTGAGATTAAGGAGTACATTTTGGGTGAGCACACTGGAGTCAAGCTAAACCTTCTCATTTTCACGGACTTGTCCAAATTATTTTAAGCATAAAGTATCATGAAAAAAGAAGTTACATTGATTAGAAAGATTTTCAGAATTGTATTAAAGAAGCACAAAATAATTATAAGGGGAAATGAATTTCACTCTGCATTGGACAATTTGTGGAAAGAATATGTGAAGGCTTAACAAGGGCACCATTTCATAGCAGCCAGTTAAGTGTTTTCAACTATGTCAAAAGAATCACTGAAATAGCAATATGCACCATCAAGTCAGAGTCAACTTATAGCTGGCTCTCCAGTGGGTTTTCCAAGGCAGTAAATCACATGGGAGGGACTGCCCATATTTCTCCCTGGGGTAGCTGGTGGATTCAATCTGAGTGCCTTTAGGTTGGCAGTGCAATCCTTAACCACTAAGCCACCAGAACCACCTAAAGGAGGTAGAGAGAAGCACTTCTTTTCTCCTTCTTCTCCTTCTCCTCCTCCTCCTCCTCCTCCTCCTCCTCCTTCTTCTTCTTCTCCTCTTGTTGTGTACTGTTGAATCTAATTTACTGGCACAGGAGGGGGCCTCTCCTCTAGCTGAGCACCTGGTAAAATCGAACTGTGAGCCCTCCGGATTGTAGTGCAGCTTCTTGCCACACTTGGCCACGAAAGCTCCCTTGAAGCCTTTCTTTTAACTTAAATGCTTTAATAATTTTCATTCCAAGAAAAATCTACAAAGAACAATTAGATCTTCCATTTTCTTATAAATGACTTCCACATTTTGAAAAGACATACTTTGTTCTGGTGAAATTACAAAATGCCTTTAGATACTGTTTATTAAGATGTGTAGTTAGACGTAGAAAGGACAACGCCTTTTTGATGGCTTTTATCAAACATAACTCAGGAATGTAAAAGAAAGATTATTCTTTGTATAACAGTATAAATAAAATTTTCCACTGTGAACAATGAGAAAGATGTATATAATATGGAACATTTTACACTATAGATTGAATACTTACATAGACTTTCTCATTTAGTGATTTACTCCACTGAATGTGTTTATGCATGTGTGAGGTTATAGATGTAATTTTAATGAACAAATATCTTAGAACTTCATATTTTATAATCTTTTAATTTTGCAAAATTTTCCTTTCAAATTTTGTTTAATCAATGTGTGTGTGTGTGTATAAAATTGTATAATGGAAAATTATAAAATAATTACTCTCTTATATTTCTTTTTCTTAAGCAAAACTTACAATTTTGGGTAAGACATTTTCACCCCTTATATCAATTCTGTATTTTTATGGCATAAAAGCTTTTCTTCCAATGAAGAGTTTTTCAGTTCATTTCCCCATTCTCTCCTATCCCTGGGTTCCAGAGCTTCCTGAGTTGAGTTCTTGGACATGCCCAGCCAGGAGATCAGGTCTGGGCAGACATTTGAAGGAAATTTCCATTGAAGGAGACCTTTGTCTGCCTCTGAAGTTACGACTCTCCTTCTACCCAATGTTTCTCTTACTGTGGCCTTTTAGTGCTAGAAATATTTCAATTGTGAAAATCTCCCATGGACAGAGATCAAGAAATTTTACCCCCTTAAAATGAATCTATAGAAATTTGTTTTAAATAAATATATAACAGAAATTAAGATGAAAAGTATTAAATGATAAAAAATTACTTATTGTACATCTCTACACATTCACTCTATAAACACACACACACACACACACGCTCACATATTAATCACATACTCTACTGTCGAGTCTATAAAAGAAAAGAATACCTTCATGAAATAATGAAATGATTCCTTTAATTATGAGTGTTACTCTGAATAACAAACTTTCATCACACAGTAGGAAGCTTATCAATGGGTCTTTGTTGTTTTTTTTGGGTAAAGATATCCTATACTCTGGGAACATATTTGAAGCATGAATTTAAGTGTCCATGAAGCCCTTGAACCCAGAGAAGAGTACTGCAGTGATGAGGAAAATACCAAGGAAGGCTGGTCAAGGTCATGGGCTGATTCTGTATCCATCTTTGTAATTGAACCTAAGAGCAATAGTGGAAATCCTGTACTTTCAAATTAATGTTGCAATAAGTATTATCACATCTAGGTATTAGACAAAGGAAGTGATAAATACCTTGGGAAATTACAATTTCATCAAAGAATAGAGTGTGGCTTAAAATTTATTTAAAAGATGCTGCCCATGATAGGATATGTATTAGCCAACTGGATTATAAGGTTTTAATGAATCCACCCTCTTCTCTCCATATATTTTAAAACCAGTTTTGAAAAAAATGAGAAAGAAATATGTTTTCATGTGTGAACCTGTAAGCTCACAGATTCAATGAACCTAAATTGTATCTCTCAATAGTTAGGACAAGGCAACATTTTATCAAGCCAATAAGCCTGGTGAATACACCAGCACCTATACAAGATTCCAGAAGAGTTCCGTAGATATTGATTTATCATTTCTTAAAAACAAATGACAGATTAAGGGGAAGTTTTAATTTAGCCTTTGATTTTTAAAACATAGTAAATAAACAGATGAGACTCTGAGAATATTTGCTTTTTCAAACCAAAGCAGATAAGGAACTTCTAATTATATAATTAATTTAAAATCTCTCACATAAAGCACCAGCAGACAATTTTAGAAGCCTATTAGTAAAATTTCATAGTGCAAATGGAAAAAAAATCTGCTAGGCTTTTGGGAAAAGTCTCAGTTTCACATGAGATGGAGCTGGACAAAATCTGTTCTCATAGGTATTTTAAAGTTATTATTTATTTCTTTATTTTAAAGGAATAAAGACTGTCTTAAAATTATTTAAATTCTTAAGTGTTTAAAAAAATAATGGTACTCTCAATGACTTTAAGAATTTGGGAAAATTATTTTATTAAGTTATGAGGCTTCAAACTTACTAGAAGGGGATTTCTTTTCATCTTTCTGCCAAGGAGGAAAATTTCATTTTTAAAATTCATATTTCTTTCTACAACACCAGCTAGACAAAGGTAGAGTCATGAACCGAAGGGATTTAGCCTACTGTGGAAATCTCATTTACTTGTTAGCTACAATACATCTGTTATCTACAATCTGATGACATTGGGCATTGATATCCAGATGCTCAGACGATAGACGGCCGGCAGTTGTTTCCTGGCTCAGAAGCAAACAGAGCGTGCACCTAACTCACTCACCCCATGTCCTCTAACATCTTGTAATGTAAAGCATGATATTAAAAATAGTTTTTATGTATGCATAGAGTGGTCTGTTAAAAATTGTTGTTCTAACATGTCTAATTAAAATTTACCAACAAATTAGGATCATGCAGCATAACATTCATTGCATAAGTAGACAGGATTCACATAAACAATTATCAGTAGGTAAGCACTTGAAATGGAAGGAAGAAGAAATAGAATTAATAAGGAGTTCTCTTTTATTCTCTTCTGAGGAAGTTTAGTCAGTATTCATTTCTTCTTGAAGAAACATGCAAATTATCTTTAAACATGCACGTTAAATTGTTGGCATTCTGACTTAATTCACCTTTGTTAGTTCCAAGCAGTTGGGTAAAGCAGGGTTTTAGTTCATGAATCAGGTTTCTACATGTAGAGAATTTCTTTTCACATATTCTATAGCTGGAAACAAGATATACTAAAATGCAAAAAGTAACTGTTTGCATCCAAAACATGAAAACAGAACCATTTTGCATTTCTTTTGTCCCTATTACTCAGTGGGTGGTAGATTTTAAATGATGAATGAGATACTATACAGAAAGCATCAGAAATGGTGATATTACCTTTTGCCCTGGACGACCAGATTCTCCAGGTTCTCCCTGTGTAAAGACAACCACAGATCAAAGGAATAGTCTAACAAGCAATTTCCAAAACCCCTGAGGTCTCTGAGTATTTTCACAGATATGGCACAGATTCCTTCTTGACATGTATTTTATTCACTTTACTCTGTTCTGTATCTCACAAGACATAGAAAAAAAACATTTCTACTGGGAACAGACCTAAAGTTCACATACAAATAACCCACATTTCTATGAAGGCCACTCATATGGAAGAAAAAGCATGCTGTGTTAGTAAGGCCTCTCTCAGATTTCCCATTGATATTTTCTGTTGTGTGTGGAAGCTGATTGTGCAGAATAGCAACAGAGTTAAAACTATTAACTGGTAGAAGAGTGGAGAGAGTTAAGGCTTATGAAAACAAAAATGGTGACTCTTGGATTACAAATGCTTAGAGGGCTTTAATTACCTTAATTCCTGCAGCAGATGATCCAGGGTCACCCTAAAATGAAACCCACAAGAGGTTATTTCACAAGTTAGAAATATGGTGGGAAGAGAAAACATCACAAAAGCACAGAAAGCCATTATTGACATGGATCCTCACAGGGGCTCCCTGACTAATGGACTGAAATATGTTCCCTAAGCCTTGGTATCAGTATGTCAACTGCTAAGAGGTCAATAATATCCAAGATCAACAATATAGTTCCTAAAGCCATGAGTTTACTTTGAATGCAAAATACTGTCTACGTTCTCAAAAACAGACAGCTACATAGGAACCTCTTCCCTGGATGTTAGAAGTGTGTTCTAATGCAACAACTTTATAATTCATGGATCTGCCACTTTTGGGTTTCTTTATTTCTGGAATTTTTTCATGTCACTGGTTATCATTTACTGAAAATTCCCTGACCCTTTTGGTCTCCAGAACGTCAAGGTTCAATAGATGAAGTCAAAGGGTTAATGACATCGAGTTGGAAAAAGCCATGCACCAGCTCAGCTTTCTTCCTGGAGGACTGTCACAGTCAAGACAGCCCCGCTTCCAGCTTTACACTATTTCATTGTAGTTCAGTCACTGTGAAGTTGCAGGGTGATGGATGACTTGTGGTGATGGGGACACTAGCAAGATCTCAGATAAAATCTGGACACAGGATCTGGTTTTGAAGAAGCCACTGTATTCTACCCATCCATAAAGGGTGACCACATTTCTAAAGCAAATTCCAGTAAACATGTAAGGCTAGTTGAGGAAAGAATGTGGAGGCTAGGTGGGAATTTGATGCTAGCTGTATTTGAGGTGAGGCCAGAAAAGGGCCTGGATTTCCAAACTTTTTGTTGCCTTTTGTGTCACATGAATATACTACAGGATAAAAGAAGTTGCGTGTGTGTGTGTGTGTGTGTGTGTGTGTGTGTGTGGTGGGGTGGATTCAGTAATTTATGATTCTGTCATGTAAATAGAACCATCCACAATCAGAAAGGCTCATTTTAAGACGCCCACAGCTGCCTCAACTGTACAAGTTCTAAAGGAGCTGGTCCAGGGGTCTATGTCCTATCCGAGACTCCAAAGACTCTTTATAAATCTCTTTTAGGAACAAAACTAAAGCATCAGGCCTTTGTATATAGGACATTTGGCTCTATTTCCCAACACCTCTCCCTGCTTCCCATACCTGGCACCTTCTCTTTCTTCAACTCTCAGGGAAAATTTCACTGGCCAAGGAGTCACAAACCCCACAACACAAACCCCTGACCTGTCTGGAGCACTCCATGTTCTGTGCATGTTCTACATAATTCATCTGGTAATTACACTTTCATGTTTTGTGCTCACTACTCTCTGCATCTCCATTATAGTCTGCTGCATGAAAGTAGATTTGACATCCATTTTAATTTCATATCTGGCCCATAATATCTGCTCAATACATCTATAATGAACAAGGAAACAAACCCCAAAAGAGAAATTTTTAAGAAGATCATCAGTCAAGGAGGAAAATGGGAATGGAAGACAAGAGTAAACAAGCATATTGTGAAAATGGATCTTAAAGGAGTCCTGGGGCCTCAGTGGTTAAGTGCTCAACTGTTGTTGTTGTTATGCGCCATCAAGTCGTTTGTGACTCATAGTGACCCTATGCACAATAGCCCTAAACTCTGCTCTAGCCTGCGCCAACCCCACTGCCTCTGACACACCCATCCCTTTTACCCCAGTCACCGAATCAATCCATCTCATAGAGGGTCTTCCCCTCCTGCGCTGTCCCTCCACCCTCCCAAGCATGATGTCCCTCTCCAAGGACCCGTCCCTCCTGGCAACATGTCCAAAGTATGTCAGATGAAGCCCCAGAATCCTTGCCTCCAAGGAGTAGCTTGTTTTAATCCTCTCCAAGATGAATCTGTTTGTTTTCCTGGCAGTCCATAGTACATTTAGCACTCTTCTCCAGCACTACAGCTAAAAGGCATCAACTCTCCTTCTGTCCTCCCTAGTCGTTGTCCAACTCTCTGATGCATAACAAGCGATTCCAAAGACCATGGCCTGTATCAGGCACACCTTAGTCTCCAGAGAGACACCATTGCTCCTGAGTACTTTAGAGTGCTCGACTACTAACCCAAAAATGGGAGGATCAAACCCTGCTTCTGGCAGCCTGCTTCTGTCAGCTTCTGTAAAGATTACAGCTTCGGAAGCTCTATGGGGCAGCTTTGTTCTGTTCTCTAGGGCCACTGTGAGTGGGAACTGACTTGATGACAACAGGTGATTTTTAAAATTTTAATTACTATTACCCAAGCAAAAATGAAAAAGAAACAGAAAACAGTAAAAGGATACCAAATTCTAACATCTTATTACAAAACAACAGTTACTTCTCTTCTTCAACATTCTTTGAATTCCAAATGGAAAATAAAATTAACATAGCAAATGAAAGAAAACATTTTTACTGTCAACTAAGTCTGAGTCAGTCGAGGTGGCAATATTTAACACAATAAGACCTTTGTATTCATATGTGTAATATACACTTTGGCAAGACCCTTCAGTTCATCTCAATTATACCTCATGAAACTGTTATGAAATGGGGAATATTACAGCTAAGAAAACGGAAGCAACTTTGTGCTTCTTAAGTTCTACTGCCATGCTTTGAGAAAACTCAGACTAGGAAAGAGTTATTGGTTAATTTCAATTAGACAATAAAGCACAAAGACTGCTATAAGCTTAGAAATAAAGCACTAAGTTCCTCATTTTAACTGCAGTTAAATTTTTTAAAAAAATGTTTTAATGACAAATGACTAGATAATCCTCTAATGACAATAAGGACTAGATTTAGTTCTCATAGAAAGTGAACAGGAAAGACAGTTGCTTAAAGACTGATTTATGTGTGGAAATCTGTATAGTTTCATTTTCAGAGACAACAATGAGTGATATTTTTACTCACATTTTAAAATCTTAGAACTGTGAAACCCCAAGGAATTTTTATAACTTTTAAGTGTCAAGGCAAATGTTAGAAGATATTCACAATTCAAATATTTTAAAGAATAATGCTGGAAGCAGTGGAAATGAAACAATGGGGTTTATAATCTTTTTTCCCCCCCAAAGTGAAAATGAATATAGGATTAATGTAGGAAAAATTATTTAAGTATTTATACCTTAGCTTTGTGAATCAGTTGGTTTGGAAATAAGCTTTCAATAGAGTAAGTCACAGAGATACTGTGAGAAGATATTTGAGATAAAGGAATATGTACCAAAGGAATCTTATCATTGTTAATTGAATTATGAAGGATTTCTGTTTTTCTTTTTTACTATTTTCAAACACAACATTTAGTAGGTAATCATATGCAAGTGTTAATAAAGCCCATGAGTGTATGACGTGCATGGAGTGAGTGACTTATATTTATTGAGCATCAGTGATGCACCATGCATGCCCTGGGTACAGGGAAGATGGACCTTTGGAGACAACAGTGAACAAAGAAGTTATAATTCTTGCCTATAGCTTCAGTTAGGACAATAATTTACTATATATGGTTATGCAAAAAAAAAGTATTGATTGAAAGTCCAAAAGATGCTTCTTTTGAATGAATTTTTTAAAAACCTTGGATTTAAAAAAAAGTGTGTCCTATTTTGGGAAATTTTGTGTCTCCAAATTTTTTCTAAATTATTGTAGTTAAATATCAAGGAGCTTTAGGAGTGTAGTTTGTAGAGAGTCTTGCTGTAAACTCAAAGGCCATGCCTCTCTGGATGTTAGAATTGACAGTGGGTCCTTGGGAGAACAATGGTAATTCTTCCCTAGTGCTTTACAACCTCCTGAAAACTTGAAGTGTCAGCTATGAGTTGGTTCCGACTTAACAGCAATGAGAGTTTGAGTTAGAAGTCATAGGTGAATTGGTACATTTATACTTAAAAATTTTTAAAAATCTATCACTATAGCTCCTAAGGTATGCATAACTGAAGCAATGGTCTTAACAGTCACCTTTTATATACACAAAAACTGAACAATGAAATAGGAAGACAAGAGCTCAGACATTCAAATTGTGACAGTGATGAAGAATACTGATTTTACCACAGACTGTCAGAAGAATGAACAACCAACCCTGGAACAAATAAAGCCAGCATGTTCCTTAAAAGTTTTGAGATGGTGAGACTCTGGCTTGCTAAATCAGTAATATGAGGAAAAACCAGTCCCAGAAAAGATATGTTTGATAGAGTGTGGAAAAAAAAAACTAGAGAAAGCCTGAGTTAAATGGGTTGACGTAACAGCCAAAACAATGGGTTTAAATATTGTTAGAATCATGGAGATGGTGCAGGATTGAAAATGAATGTGAGCTGACTTGATGGCAACTAATAACTGACACCAAAGTCCTGAATATATGCTTTCTGCACTCAGCCATTATTGTACTCATAGGGCACACAGTATACATAGAGTATACATGCATAGCATACTCATACTAGGCAAAAATAAAACTGAGGATGCTACTGATAAGTAGTGATTAGATATAAGGATTCTGTCCACACAACAGGCTACCAATAAACTTACTATGTGTATCTTAATGGTTAAAAGCATAGGGAGGTAGAATCACTACTTTCCAGATGGGTCAATTCCTAGACCTTTCCACATTGTTTCTATTTAAGGATTAGTGTTAGCATCAGAAAGGCAGAGGAGGAAGATGAGTCAGTGAGAAGATGAGTCTGAAGGATTACTGTTACTCACTGTATACGCAGAGAAGTCACAATAAGCACAAGCATGTAACAGGGGGAAAAAAATTACCAGAACATGAAAATAAGAAACTAGCTGAAATGTTTGTTTTTAAATTGTCACACTTTCAAAAGAAATCATAAAACTACTTTACTCAATATTTATTATAGAATATATTAAATATTTATTATGATCTAACTTTGTATCAGTGACTTTAGCTTTTGTGTTGAGTCCTTCCAGTTGGAACCAACCTATAACTGACCCTCTAGAAAGATTTCAGTAAGAAATCAGCAAGAAGCAGTAAATCACATAGGAAGAGATTGCTCATCTTTCTCCCACAGGGCTG